CAAAGGTAACATTGTAAAATACTCTCGACTTTTCACTTGAATGCAAATTATATAGAACTAAACTATCATGAAAATACCATGAAATACCATAACTAACATGAAAATCTAAATTACCATGAAAAACCCAAGCACATACAAGCATTCATGCATTCACTGAAGCATTAACTTTAATCAGACCTAATTGTTAAGAAGATCACAATATTAACCCATTAACGCGCAAAAATGCAATTTTGTGCATGAATTTTCAATTGAAAAAAAATCTTAGATAAAGTTAAAATCTTTACTTAAAAATCCGTATCGAGGGGGTTTTGGGTATGTTCCTTAAGAATCTGATGTTAATTTTGCGATTAATAAACATTAACATCGATTATTTTGTTATTAAAAAAAAAACGTTATTTTTTGACTTGAAATTTGTTTTCCAAGTCGATTTTCTACCTTGCCCTGTCTTCAGAGGATTCCCATAACACCAGTAATCGTGCACTTTTTCTCTGAACCTTCAATAAATGTGTTGCCGCGATTTCTATCTAGCCACTATATTTAAAAAATGGCGGATTTATACCGAGCAGCGATATAAAAAGTCCCTCATTTTTTCCGCGGAAACTATTTCACATGCACTGAATATCAACTAAAAAGTACGATTTTGAGGACAAAAAAGTAATTGAAATCGTTCAGAAAATACGTGTGAATTTTTTCAGAATTTTTCAAACCACTTTGTAAATTTTTCATAATACGGCCATTTGTAATGTCGCCTCTACATAGGCCACAAAAAAAATTCAAACTTCCAAACCTCCTAAAGCGCCTGCCTATAGGCAGCCCGCTATACAAGTAGCGAGCCCACAAGCTGCTCGGGACTTCCCAGCATAGCGAGAGAAATCTAACGCCTTTTTTACGACCACCATAAAAACTCAACGGTTAGTTATTTTTTACAACGGAAAACGCCACATCAAACGATCTAGAGAACAAATATTCGATAATATAAAGCACATGGCGAATACTTTTTCTCTACATAACCAATATGCAAAATTCCCGAATAAACTAATAAAATAATGTTCAATTAGAGTCGGTCTAAAACTAAGACCCACACAGTTCGACCTCTACAGAATCTTTTTCCTTCCAAAACACTTTCCCCTGTCTCTCTCAATAAACAATAAGCTAATAAACAATTGAAGTTGCAATAAACAGCCATTGTTAGTGTGAAGTACATCAAGACACCCGGACTAACAACGAAAAGCTAAGTATAATATCTAAAACAATAATGTAATAAAACCATGAATAGAACGAATTAATAAACAATATCTACAACAAATATCAATATCATTAATGTAAGTACAATGATCGAGAACATTCGATCGCCGGTTGGTGAATTGGAAATGGACAGAGAGACAAAATCTCGGCGTTATACCGCCGCTCGATAATTAGACCAATCTCAGCTCTCAAAACGTAATAAAATCACAGCCGCCGAAAGGCAGCTTAGACCGGGTCACCTAAAAACTTAGTCGACTCTGCCTATTCGTGCTTCAGCACTCCGCGACGAGGCTGCTGTTAGAACAAAGGCCAGAAAGAGCTTAAGAAGGAACACGTGCAGCAATAGGACCCATAGAATCGAAGTGAGGGAACTCGGATATCGATACTTCGTTGTACAACGAAGTCAGTTCTCTCGTGTCCCTCGACCAGAGAGCAAGTCAGACAGCACCTCTGCAGTCTAAGCCTTGCACCTTTGCAATCACTTTATAATCCAAGCCTATATATTGCACCTCTGCAATAAAATTATAATCCAAGTCTCCGCAGTGTGCCTATTCAAAAACATTATACATACTTCACCATTCATGCCTATTCAAAAACATTATACATACTTCACCATTCAATTATATCAGTTACCTTAAGAATACCAGAAACCGGCGGAAAAACCACATCACCCATAACGAATAAAAACAAAAGTTAAAGGATTTCCTGATATACGAGTGAGTACTTATATTTATTACTATCCTTCCTATTTTTACCTCTTCTCCTTTCCCCTTCAATTTTTACCATAAATAACACACAAATATATATTGTTGCGTGTGTACCACAACGTCCTCTCTTGTCGCCAGGGGCGGCCGAGAAGACGTGTGACTGCTAGTCGTCACCTACAAGGGCAGAACGATCGACGAGCAGCCACACGTGAATAGCACATTTTGCCTTCATAGATAAGATAAACGTATAGACCTAGGCTCAAAATCCTTGAGCCCTCCTGTATAAGGATTTGCTGAGGAACGTCCCTCCTCTTGGTTCTAACCAGCGAGGAAAAATAAAACTAGGTCCCAAGGGGGACCTAAAACAAAATAATCGATGTCAATGTTTATTTATCGCAAAAATAACACCGGATTCTGAAAGAGCATACCCGAAAACCCCTGGTGATAGATTTTCAAGTAAAGATTTTAAATTTATCTAAGATTTTTTTACAATTGAAAATTCATGCACAAAATTGCACTTTTGCGCGTTAATGAGTTAACCTGAATATTCTCTATAGATTATATCACAGGTCTCAGTCTTTTCGTCTCAGTACACCCTATTGCTTATGATACAATCATTTTTTAATAAGCATTAAAATTATCATCGCTTTACTAAAATTTTTTTTCTTGACAGTGATGAAAGTTGTACATCAATTTAAATCAATTAAATGATTGCCAGTACAAATAAATAAAAGACTTGTAACAAATCATAAAAAAGGGCTAATTTTCCGCCAACTCAAAGTTTCCCAATATAAACTTATCAAATTACCCGCATTCATTTTTTCATCTATATGTCTTTCGTGTTATTAATGAATAAAATTTCTGTTATGACCCTGTTGTCATTAAAATTTAGTTATGAATGTTATTGTCGATATTACTTAATTATTATGGCACGCATCTTCGCTTGTTAGGAAAGATTGTGCGTAAGAGAGCAGGGTACGGAAGAAATGAATATAAAGTAATTCACACACAACTTGTTTATTGATGAGCCTGATTACTAGATGTTGCTATCTGCTGGGGCAGAGATGCGTTGCCGGCTGTGATGTTAGTGATGCGTTGCTAATGCGTCGGTGATAGTTGCAGATAGTTACCGGAGATATCAGCTACTGATCGCTCACTGCACTTTTAGCTTGTTATAACTGTACAATGACTCTACTAAACCAGCGTAGCTCTGCCGTGCGTAAAGTCTCATACTGGACTCTACTCGTCCTCGCCCCTGGCTACTCTCTCTAATTATTTGCATATGTCTCGATTCATGTGAACAAATCTCTCACGACGCGTGAATTGTCATAGTTTCGTGATCAGGATCAAGTACGCGGCACGAGAGTTTCCTTCCGTGTATGAGATCGCGTGGCTATCCGTAAAATTGCGTTTGTCTACAAATTGTGAGTGCATATCGCAGCGCGAGTGAATAAGCAGACCGGAAACATTTGTTCGTGGATTCGTGTGACCGTAGTATAGGTACCGCGAATCTAAAACCAATGTGAGTAGCGACGCCACTATCCCATGTCTAATATGGAGCCCGTCTCTGCTAGACTGCATCTCATCAATTACGAGAGCTTCCGTATCAGGTCTTAGCGATCATTTAAGCACTGTTAGAAGCTCTTGCACATTCACTCTGTCTCAAACTATGTTTGAATTCATCTGTGCTCAAGGCAAGGGAGAGACAGAGTGAACGCATATCATCCATTTTCGGGTAACCCATATTCGCGAAGTCTTTATCACAATTACTGTGAAGGGACCAAAAACCAATCACAAGCTGGGCCCCGGAAGCAGCTGTAAGCAAGTCTACTCCGATGATGAAGGTAATTCCACATTATTAATTTTCACCATTATCAGCAAGTAAGTACGCACCGCGTACAATAAGAAATTCAACAGTAGTAGAAAAGCAAAGTTGACCAAACTTTGTACTACAAAGTAGTTAGTGAGCTAGCTACTTCTGTTTCAAGAAATCTCCGTAACGAAGGCATATTTAAATGAGTTACTGTTATTTAAGAATTGAATTTTTTCATTCCATAGATGGTTCAATAAATCGTTTTATGACTACCTTAAATTAAACTGATATTCACTGACATTGTACCTGAAATCACCTATCCCGTGTCGAATTCTCAATACAAAGAAATCACCCTCGCTTTGGTATAAATTTATTGGGTCGGAGTAGAGGGACGCGTGAAGACATTAATCATTTGCATCTACACTTTGGAACGCGTATGCTCACGCACAATCACCTAGAAAGCTCGCGACGCGATAAAAGTGCATCCCAATATATGTCGAATCCTTATCGCTTGTGCCTTTGTGGAGTAACTCTCGTACGATGCGTGGGCCAGAGATTGGAAATACCTGTAACTGATTGCAACTTTCTCGAATTTGCAATTTGCGGACCTTGATATACATCTGAGCAAACAGCGTAACATGCGTTCAATCATACGTACGCTACAGGCCCAGTTTGTGCTATCATTTATGTTTATGATTATGATGTTCACATGAGCTAAATACGCTACATCCGGTCTTCCATCCACTTGTTCTCAGAAATCACCGATCTTTGCAAATATATCGGCATATGAAGGTGCGTCATCGATGTCATTTTACCCCATGAAATATAAGCGTGGGCAGTAGCCGCTTCTTACCCGCACTAGCATTTGGAGGGGGGGGCTGTATTTCCACAGAGACCCGCGCGTGCAACGTACGAATGCTTATGCAACGAGTGCTTTAATCCCAACATCACCTATGCGTATGCTCTGCTTCGCGCGGGGCAAATACCGAGGCTACTCATACTACTTCGATGATCTGGTAATCAAGGTAGAGGTCCAGTTAGTGTCAGTATTAAAACGGCTGCCGTTGTGTTATAACATTTCCAAGATTAGTTTGGGAATTCATTGCTTAATTTTTTATGGCAGTACTTTTAAAAATAAAATTTAAATACAACTTTATAGCTGATTGGATAGAAATATTCGATGTCTTGGCGAAGTAAAGGTAATGGATTTAATAATTGTGATATCAAAAACAATATAAATTTTTTTCACTTTTATTGTCAAACATTACTTAGTGTTGTATCTAGTTTTTATATACTAAATTTTTAGGGACTCAATAGTAATTTTGGCAATCAAGATGAAATAATGTTCCGTTTAATTTGAAATTACATACTTATGACAATGTAAACAATTTTCAATCCCAGTAATTGAAGTGAAAAAAAGTTATCTGGCAACATTTAAAATAGATTATCAAGTAGTGAAAAAAGATTTTATACCCACATAAATACAGAGCTACGTTATCAATACAAATTATTATTATCGAAGAGAGGACATATTAAATTTTTAGACTATTAATCTAAAATGAGTATAAGATCATCTCCATCTAGTTTCATTCCTTGAGAAACAAAAATTTCTTTGATAACACCAGATACTGGCGCTTGAACAATCATTTCCATTTTCATAGCGGAAAGAACGATGAGGCTTGTTCCTTTCTCAATTTTATCACCAACTTTAACTCGGATGTCCATAACTGTTCCAGGCATTGGTGCACCAATTTGCTTAGCATCAGTTTTTGATATTTTAGGATGAATACGCATCTCCTGCAAAAAAAAGAAAAAACTACTGTATCAAATTTTTTTATCTTTAGTAAGTTATTGATCGTTGATTTTTTTATTTATTGATTAATTGCTTTCTTATGAGAGACACGTAAGTACTTCATGTAGTTTTAGGATTAGAATTGAGAATAAATTTAAAATGTTACTCTCTCTTCCCTTGAAAAAATTTCATGTAGGATCCACAAAATTTTTTCAAGAGTTATACACATATACGCACACACACCGAAACGTAAAGATTTGCAATATTGAAGATTCCTTTATTTTTAACTAGTGAAAACTCCAAATTGTTAAGCTGAAAGCTCTTAAACCGTCCTATTGTTGGACCAATGAGTAAAAAAACACGTTAATGATCGAGGTACGAAAAATATTTTAAATATTTTATTGCAAGTGAGAATCACTCTTGATTTACTATGTGGCGTGCGATACTATAAAATAAGTACATTGAAAATTTAATTACCTTTGAAGCTTTGTTATCTTTTATAAAAACCGATCTTAGTTGACCGTTCATTTCAAAGAAAACTTCACGTTCACCATTAGATGTGAGATCTTCTGCCAATGCTACTGTCTTTATTCCTAATATTTTTCCTTTTTCTAGTATGACTTCAATTTCTTCACCAATTTTTGGTCCAATTAAGAATGTTCTGGTATCTAATTTATCAACTGGTCCAAATTCTTGTCGGAAATTGAGATATTCTTCAGTAACTGTTGGATACAAAGCTGCTGACATCACATCTTTATCAGAAACTCCTTCGTAAGTATTTTGTAATTTTTTCTTTAAAGATTCAAAGTCCAGTGGAGCTAAAGATTTACCAGGGCGTCCCTCAATTCGTGGCATATCTTTTAATACCTTAGACCTAGATATAAAATTGAAATTCCATTTAAAAAAAATCATTTATATGATGGCAATCAGAAAGAAATACTAACAAATTTATTTCATTAAATTGATTGCAGATATTATCGTACCATTCATTTTTAATCATAAATAAAAAAATTCAATTCTACAAGAACTGCTGCAAGATATAAAACTAAATTTAAATTTGAAGTTAAAAAAGTTTCAGGAGAATAATCGAACTAAAACCCAAAAGACACCTGAATTTCATTTCTGTGGATTTTATTGTCTAATATTTATGGACAATAGAATTAGAACTTCAAGTACTTTTTCGTTTTGGTGGAACTATTTTTCTGCAATATTTTTACTTTCAAATGTAACTTCAGTTTCACACCTTGTAGTGGTTATTATAAAGTTTGTTCAAAAACTTTTTCAATTTTTTTTTTCATGTTGATTTCTTCATTTTAAGAGGACATCATACACCTTAAAATCCTTTTTACTTTATTAAAAAAAAAATAGTCCTAAAATAAAAATTGAGATTGGTAAACTTTGAGGCTTCTTACTAACCCTTTAACCAAAAAAATTACACCCCTACACACTGGAAAAGTGTGTCTAAATTTACAGCAGGTCTCCTTGACTAAAAAAATTTAAAATTAAATTATATGTCTACGTATTGTAACATTCAAGTAGGACCAATAACCTTTTCAAATTCCTGGAGGGCTCTAGTACATTAGTTTTATAAAAAATTTGAAAAAAATTGTATGAATTCTCCCATTAAAAGGTAGATAGTTATGAGTACGGTAGCGTAAGATTCACTGAGTTTTGAAAATTTATAAAGAGAAAATAAATGTCTTGATTTGTCTTCCGTCTTCTGGTTTAGTCCATTTGTAATCGATGGGAAAGGAAGTTTGCTCGAGAGGTTGAGATTTCGAAAAATAATAGAGGTTTTTACTTGTGATTGTCTGTGGAACGCCACTGCTTCTAATCCAAGATATTGAGATTGACTACATGAGTTCGAAAATACAGTCGCTTAAGGGTTCTTCGAGTGTGATAAGAGTCCACTGCCTGACAATGACAGATGAAACCCCATTGCCTTTAAATTTATTATTTCGATGAGATTTTTTATCAAAACGAGTGGCGATATTGATGTGGCAAGCACGTAGACAGAAAAATTTCGAGGTAATGGGCGTGCATAGTTAAATTCCTTGGCTTTAATAAGGGCTATACATCACAGCAGGTATTCGCTATCTGCATAACTGCTGGTGCCACGGTGTGGCAGAAAAAATCGTTTTTGGAGAGAGCAGTCGTACCTTGTACATAGATAAAAACACTTTTTCCTTCATATCTTGGTTAATATGCAAGATACTAGAAAAATAACTACACTAATCGATTCCTCGTAAAATTTTACATTTAAATGCAATATTAATTTAAAAAGTGTCAGTGTAAAATTGTTTAAGATATCGTATAACAAATGCAAAATTTGTGTCCAGCTGACTTTTTTCATGAAAATCACTTGCGTATTTGACCGGAATTTCAAACTCGTAAGTAAAAATTGTACCTTAATTATTATTTCAAAATTTTATGTTTTTTAAACTTTTTTACTTTTTATTACAGTTCCCAATATTATTATGTACTTTATTTTTAAAAGAATTTCCGCTGGGGACATTACGCGTTTACCTAAGTAATCGCGAAAAATGTGTGACGGTGTACCGTTTTTCGATCATATCTTGACAAATGTACAACATTGTGACTTAAAAACAAAGCAACATACCGATGACTCTCCTCTTATTATGATTACCGAACACTGTGTACAGATGTTAGGCACATGCCCAGGCATCTGACTTGTCTTGCGGGTGTTGCTATTGCCATGATATCAATGGCAGATTTGTTGAACTGATACGCAAAATGATGCCACCGATGCGGCTATCGTATTAACGAACTGCCGCTTAATTTCTGAGTACGGCTTGCGCGAGTGCAGCGGTACCGAAAAACCGAGAGGGACGAACTGACTAAGGCAGATATATGCTGGTTTACTGCTAAGGAAATAGAGTTACCCTAGTCTACGGTGGAGAAACCCGCTATAACATATTTTTCTATAGACTTTTTGAGATAACCTAGTCATCGTAAGACATTTCAAACAACATATTTTTCCTAAAATGCATTGATATGTATAATGTACCTAAAATTTCTACATTTCTGTAGAAAAAAAGGAACTTAATCCAGTAAAAATAAATTGCTCTTGCCATAAGATATTTGTGCCATAGGAGACACGTTTTGATACAGCTTTAAGGCCTAAACTAACACCAAAAAGTATTACTTATGACATTTGTATTGTTAAATAAAAAGAATATCAAAAATTTACCTAAATGGCTCTGGAAAACCTTGATAAGGTTCGCCAATAGCTCCTTGTAAGAATTCAATCACTGATTTGGGAAATGAAAGCTCATCGGCTTTCTCAAGAATATCTTTTCCTGTTAATTTATTTTGAACCATAAATTGAGCTAAATCACCAACAACTTTAGAGCTTGGAGTCACTTTTATTATATCTCCTAGTAAAAAGTTAGCTTCTCTATAAGCCTTTTTAATATCTTCAAAAAATTCTCCTAGACCGAGTGAATATGCTTGGAATTGTAAATTCGTGTATTGTCCACCAGGAATTTCATTGAGATATACGTCTGCATTGCCAGACTTCATTGTTGTTGTGCATTCAAAAGGTGCATAAAGGGTCCTTGTTTGTTCCCAGAAAGCTGAATACTCAGATACATCTCTTAAATCTAATAGTGTGTCCTTTTTAGTTTCTGAAATGATAAAATGAAACTATTTATATCTCTCATATTTATCTCATATTCAGGGTGATGAACAGAATTAAGAAAAAATGACAGTCTCTTTGAACTATCAATATCAATAAATATTAATATTACCGATCGTAATGATCATAATTATTTTTAATTTGTAATTAACAAAAAAAAAACGATAATATTTTGGCAGCTTCCCCCGGGCGAGTAAGAGCAACACAACTGCTGCCAATATATCATTTCAGGACCACTTTACCTTGTATCCAATCGAGGAAGTCGAGGTTTTTGATTCATACTTAAATTTCATCATGAATTATAAAAAATCTAGAATTTTTAATCCATAATGATAAAATGTTAGTATGAATTCCTACCAACCACTCCACATAAGCTTATGAAATTTCAGACTCTTACGATGAGAACCTTTTACGTATCAACAAGAAGTTCTTGTTGTAATAAAAAAAAAATGAGATTTTTCATTATCAAATTGTATATTCGGAATTTTAAATCTATTAAGATGAAATTTAAGTATGAATCAAAAACCTTGACTTCCTAAGAGAAAAACGTCGCCAGGACTGTATTCCTACCTGCACACCGAGTAGGAAACCCGGGTTGACAAATTAGCTAAAACATCTCGACTTTCTTAAAGAAAGTCGTCGCCGAGGATATATTTATACCTAGTCCACCGAATTTTTAAATATTACAGGCTTACTAAAAAATTATGATATTTTTATAGATAAAACCCTGATGCTTATTTTTTCGAATTACGGTTATTTGGTATGGAAAAAAGTACTGCAATCGATATTAAAGATGTAACTCTAAAATTTATCTCAGCTGCACGATTTAGCCTTTAAAACCATTCGGTTTTTAACTGCAAATTTTTCTAGAAAATCTAGACCGAAAATCCTGCCTGAAAATCCAACCCGATAATACAGTTAAAAAATCCAACCTGAAAATCAATCCATAATCTAGCCCGAAAATCGAGCCAAAATCCAATCGATTCCAGCTCGATTACAGCTTGATTAAGGGTGGGTTTTGGCTGGAATTCCAGCCAACCATTTTTAACAGGAAACGGTGTTAGCTGACTAGCTTTTCTTTCAATTTCCCAAAAAGTGATCATGAGTAGTTTTGAATGATACATTAAAACATAAATAATGTCTTCTATAGGGTTCAAAACATAAATATTTTACCACGCCACCAAGTGGATGTGTGTTTTTTTTCTACTCCACCCCATTCGGACACTCACCGGTAACCGCCGCTTCGGGGGTGGCTTTGGTGAGGCCGGGGTTATTTGAGCATTTCTGCTACTTCTATGTTAGTCGTTGTTTTCCATACATCTCCCATCTGTCGCATAGTGATATGCGACGATTAGGGGTTCAGGGACTCATCTTTTTGTACTTGGTGAACCTCCGATCCTGCTCGATGCCATCTTTCGATTGTCTTATCCCCTTTTTCAGAGCGCTGCGTGAACGCATGCACTGCGTGGTCACACATTGCTAGCGTCTCCTTCTGAGTTAAGTATTTTCAGAATTTGCTGTCTAGTGCCATCTTGTGAGTGTGGTTCTCGCTTTTTCCGTCGATCGCAAGTGTCCCGATTGCTCTGTCGACTACATGTTGTGAAAGTCGTTCTCGCTTCCGGCGCTACCCTGTGAGTCTCCGTGAGTTTTTGAAACTCCTTTCTGTTGTCGTCTTGTGAGTGTGTTTTTCGCTTCAGGTGCCATCATGCGTGCTGGAGGAGCCTAGGCTCCCGCATCCGGCGCCCTCTTGTGAGTGTGGTTCTCGCTTCTGACTTCATCATGGGAGTGTTGGGCTCCATCTATTGCCAGTATTGTGAGTCCCCGCCTCGGGCTCCTACTTATGGTTATCCTTTTCGCTTCCAGCTCACCCAGTGATAGGGGTTTTTTTTTAACGCTCCGGAGGCTGATGACATAGCCCGGGTCTTCTTTTCGAGTGGTACCCGCTCCACCTCGGGCACAGGCTCGACCACACCAGGCGAAAAAACGAACCTTGAAAATTCGCCTGGTGGGGATCGAACCCACGCCCTACGGCACACCCTTGTATCAGCAGGCAAGAACTATACCCTTTGAGCCAACGAGGCCGGTAAGTGGATGTGTGTGCCACACAATTAGTGTTTTCGAGATGGCCGTCGATCAAAGCCACTTCGCTCATTTTCACGACGAGAACTTGTTACGCGTTGAAAATTCAGTCTAATTAATACAATCTCGCTTCGCGTTGACTACTCAATTTATTTGTGCAATTTTGACAACTCAAGTGTAAACTCAATTGACAATTTCAGTGTACTCAACAACATTACAATTGTTATCAACATTTTCAATATCTAGACTCAGTTTTATTAAATTAACAGTGTTTTTGAGTGATTAATAAAGAAAATTGTGAAAATAGAAATTTATGAGATTTTGCAGTGTTTTCTTTTGAGACCTGATCATGCACCCATCCTTTTTACAATGATTGTTTAAACAATTCTCAAACAAGCGTATTTATAACATTGTATAATTATGGCGGAATTTATCTAAACGGAATAAACATCTAATAATAAATAATAATATAAAATTAAATTCGGCGGAGATTTTGTCCCCGGAGATTATGTCGCGGAGATTTAGTCGCCCGGAGATTTTGTCCCGGAGATTTAGTCGCGGAGATTGTGTCGCCGGAGACTTTGTCTCCGGAGATTTTGTCTCGCTCCCGCTTAAACAGGCAATATTCGGCCCATATAAAAATTGCAATATACTGAAAATCATGGTAGAAACAACACCTGATGGTTTAGTATCATATATTTCTAAACCATATGGTGGATCAACTAGTGATAGACAGATCATAGAGAGAAGGGATTAACGTGAAACGTGCCAAACAGGAGATGTCATTCTCGCGCATAAGGGTATCATGGTGCAAGACTTATTTGCTCCAAGCAATGTGAGTGTCAGCACTCCAGCACTATTAGTTAAAGGATCACTTCCACATAAAACTGGAATAACGATAGGAATTTGTCCAAACATAGAGTTCATGTTGAAAGAATTATAGGATTGATGAAAACTTATACAATATTGTTCAAGAAACTTACTCGAGACCTTCTTCCATTATCTTCAGAAATAATTCAAGTTTGTGTAATGTTAACAAACTTTAAAGACAATATTATGTAAATTATTATGTAAATTTATATTTTAAATAACAAATATATTAAATCATTTGAAGTAAAATAATACTTCTAAAATTATAAATAAAATCTCATTTAGTGTAATTTGAATAAATATTTATACTGTAACATTTGTATAAATTTAATTATTCAAATTTAATTATGATATGCAAACATTATGTAGTACTAAAAATAGAACTGTGATTTTTAAATTAATATTTTTCTAAAATGGCTGGTTTCAGGTACTTTTCGTAGAAGAAATCTAATTCAAAGAGCATTTCTGAAATGAATGTATCATCTCTTATCACATTGATTATTTTTATATTCATAAATGCATACACTAAAAAATCACAATAGTCTCTTTTTGTAGCGAAGAGCTGACCTTTGACTTGGTAATAATAGGAATGTTTTTTTTTTTAATTCTAATTCACAATTTTCATTTTTATAAAGGTAAGGTACTGTCTTTTCATTTATTGTTGCATGACGAACTGTGTATGGACATTTAACTTCTATAATTGATAATTTTGCTAAAAGACGATCTGGCGTCGCTCCGAGGTAAGGTCTCTCTATTGGCACAAATAGCCCACATTCTTGGATATCCAGAACATTGTTATGAAGCTCGTTAAATTTTTTTACTGCTACTTCTTCATAAATCTTCCCATGTTCAGTGGATTTAGAGGAAAATGTTTTAGGATTAAGAATTTTTTCCACCATAGACATGGCCCCTTCTTCATTATCGATTTTTAAACAGTACGAGTGAAACATGCTGGCTGTTAATCTAAGGCTCCTTTCTTTTTTCCAAATTTTACTATTACTTTGGTTTATAGTTTGTCTTTCTACATTTATAGATTTTTCCTCTGATAAATCGACTAGGCCTAACGATTTCAAGATTCTATATTCATTTGATTGAGCAGTGTACAATCCGTGGTCCCATTCCACTGCATATGGATTTTCTGGTTTTATTATTTGTTTTATAGACATGCTGTTGTTCAAAGATGCTCCTGTTATTACATTTTTGAAATAATCTGCATAAAAAATCTTAAAATTATCATTGATTTCCAAGTCTAAAAGTTGATTAAGCTTCTTTTTATTCGATGGTATGCGTCTTTTTTTGAAAACGCTCGATTTTACTGGCGATCCAGAGTATTTTATGCTGGGTTTATGAAAAGTTTGCAATCGCTCAGTGAATGTAGTTTCAAGGATTGCAAACTTTTCATTTTTCCATTGCATGAGGGCTATCAAAGCAGTAACGATGTGTTGGCAATGCACATTTATGCATTGCCCTACTGGACAATCGCAATAGATCATTTCTATTCCTCCATCTGCTGATATTTTCATGTCCACATTATATCGCATGTGCTTTTTCAGTTCCGCTTTACATGAATACTTTATGAAATATATATCATGCCGGGAAAATCCGGCACGACTTATAGAATCGTTCGTTACTTGCTATGCCGGGAATAGAAGGGTGGTGCTACTCGAAGTATACGTTACGATACGCGGTATAGTTCCTCGCTGCAGTCATTGGAATTATACCGTGGACATCTGTAGTGGAATATAACCCTGTTATTTCTCTCCGAGCGGACAAAATACTTTCGAATCTGGTATTGAAAAAGGCTCTTATGCCTGTTTTCTAAAGAAAATTTTTTCACTTTTTCAGTTTAATACTATAAATAGAAAAAATTATTTGTTCATAAGACCCCTTTGAGCCCTTAATACTTTATATGACTCAAATTAATCGCTGTCTATTCCCTCAGAGTCCTTAAACTTCTCATGTAAATAACATGGGAAAATCGTCTTTTAGCAAATGAGTTTTCGAATGCACCTGGAGTGATCGACATGGCTAAAACTCAGAAAATGTATGTCCGTTATCTGCTTTATAGTTAGATCTGGCTTGCTAATATCTATTGATTCTAGGTATCGCAGCACTATGGATAAATCCCAAATAGAGCTATATATTGTTGCCATCGGCCTTTGCCTGTATTCTCCTTTTAAGAATTTACAAATTATCGGGTCTTCTCCAATTTTATCTTGAGAGAGAAGGGAGATTGCACTTCTGTGCATGTTTAGCGTTCCGCGTGATGCACTCTTGTTAAATTTATTAGCCAGATACCTTAGCAGTGAATTTCGTGTAGGCTTGAAGAAATCCACATCGTCGTTTTCCAAGCTGAACTCATACCATTTTTTCAGTGCTGATTTTTATTGTTTATGTGTGGAAGGTGCTACTGATGGGAGAAAGACTTTCCATGGCTTCCTGTGAGACACCCTTCCTTGCATATGCCTCGCGCAGACTAGACCCGCAATTAAATTCGTCGCTGGCATTGGCGTTCTCCGTACGGACAAAATACAACATTATCACCGTATAATAGTTGGGGTTTTTTTACGAGCATTCTATGGAATAGCGGGTACTAAGGTTGGTTGGGTCAGTCAGGTTCCATGACTATTCCTTTGGCCCCGTCTTTCTCGAATTTTTTGAAAGTTTTGAGTATTACAGTGAATGGAGGAAACGCGTAAAGTTTAATATTTTTCCAGGTGAAAGTTACTGCATCAATTTCTATGGCATTGTTTTCGGGAAATCTAGAGACGTCATTTTTGCACTTGGCGTTATGCTCTGTTGCGAATAAGTCGAAGTCTACTCTCATCAATCTATTTATATTTTTCTCAGAGGAGGTTAAATTTAGCAACGCGTCTTTTATTGTTAATAGCTCCAAAAAATTAATGTGCTTCAGCTGATTTTTTTCGTTCCATGACCCTGTTTTTGTGACTTGCCGCTCCCAACCGGTTTTTGAAGATTCAATAAATATAGTTAGATGGATTTCCATTTTTTCTAGGGATTTATAATTGGTTTCAATTTTCTCTTGCCACCGTAGCAGCTCGTTGATGCTTTCTTCGGATATTACCATACGAGTATTATAGTTTTGGTTATTCACCTTCAATGCGAGATGATTTTTCCGCTCAAGGAATTTTGTGTGTAGCCAACCGTCCTTGTTGGTTTGACAGGCAGCCACTATTGATCCAATAACTGAAACAAATTCTTGTATTCTGCATGCTCTTCATTTAGTGAACTTTTTTAGCTTGGTGCTCATCTCTGTTTTTCTCCTCTTTGTAAGCTCGATTGTGTACTCCGTGGTGTCAAGTGTGAACCCTAGGTAATCCAAGCACTGCGTTGGTGTCTCCGAGCTTTTGCTCTCATTGATGATAAAGCCTAGCTTGATTAGGAGTGCTTTAGTTACTTGCAAGTTTTTCACGTAAGTAGACTCTGATTCACCGATTAACAGGAAATCGTTTATGGAGCTTACTGACATATATTGCAATTTCCTTAGTTTCCCCAAAATTGGTTTTAATATATTGGTGAACACATATAGTGCAGTGTAGAGATCAAACGGAAAGACTTGAATCTCATAAGTTTGATTTTTAAATTCACACCTTAAATATTTTCTATTTCTTTTGATTAGTACTTGACAGCGTACTTGACTCAAGTCCATTACTAGCCCGGTTCAACCACAGTTTAAATATGTAATCGTTTATGGGCACTTCTATTTGGTCTGAGCGATTTGGGTCATCTCCCATGGCAGAGAGTCTGTTGTTTGTCGTGGGAAATTTACTCCCCATCTCATCTCCAGCACCAGCAGGACCTGCATCATGACAATGCCAATTAAATTACAACCTGCTCGCACTTTTATTCAACCAGTTTAGTTGCGTTATGTTTAATACACAACTTGTGTGTCAGATAATAGATAATGAGTCGTGGGCAAAACGGCCTCGTTTGTACCGTTGGCCGCCTGGACTGACATACGGTTGAAGCGGAGTATCCGCAACTATTGATTACCACACTAGCGCACGCATCTTGTACATGTCATGCCTCGCTTGGAGTTTATATGTGCTGCCATTACGAGAGTCGTAGCTTGTGACGACATTTCTCTTGGTGATCAGAGACGTATACAGTACGTAAGCAGGGATTACTGCATCATCCGTATCTTGTACCGATTTTTCCCATCTTTGGAGGTTACGAGCGCCTGGTGTATGCCCGAGTTCTCTTTACTAAATTCTTTCTCTCTCTGAGATGGTCGACATAGCTTGTATGACCCGAAGAGGCAATGTTATGTCATATGCATTTATTTATACAGCCATAGCATGAGCGTGCATGCTCCGTCCGAGCCGGGATCGTTTAACTTAGGTTGGTAACCGAGGACCTCGCTTTCAGCCCCGCTCTCGGTCTCGCGATCTTCATTTCGACGCTTAACTTCGTCGAATTGCTCCTAAATTTTTTGCATTTTTGCTTACATTTTTTCTACGTCAACAGATTTGTGTTTACCCATTGTCTCAGATCCTACTTTACTCGTCGCAAGAACACTTTAAGTAAAAAATGAAAAACCCTAATTCGAGTACGTCTGTACTATAGAGTACAGCTTTATAGAATGGAGCTATCTAGCGTAGGATTGAGGTAACTATCTGGTATAATCTCTCGAACGAGGCGTGAATTATAATTACAAGCGTAGGACCAGCTAGATGCAATGTCAAAGCACAGTCTCATGCTGCGAGATATGAAGACTGTGCCTTTATGCTCCTATACAAAAAAACAATAAATACGGAACAAGATGAAGCTGAGGGAGCTCAGTCTACTTTCTTCTTCCATAAGGTGAATCTCTGGTCGGTTTCCTTATACTATTAAAACCCTAGTTGGATTTGGTCTCTCCGTTAACACGAGAACTTAGTTCCTGACTGTTTAGTGAGAGTTAGCCTCTCCACGACATCGAAATTGGGTGAGAACGCATTTGAAATCTACAAAGCCAAACATAGCGCAAAATCGAAAGTGAAGTCTTTTCTGCTTCTCTTCGTTATCGCTTGGCTGTGACATCACGTGAGATACCGGTTCATAGTTAGTAAGGTATTACGGCTTATATGTAAAATAAAGTTTATTTTCACGCAATTCAAAAGCTTCCGCTTAGTCGATTGAATTTATATTCAATTAAAATAAACAAAAGAGAGGAAGATGTGATATAATAATGAGATTAAAAAAATTAACCAAAACGTTATAATAAATAAGAAATTTTAAACATCTAACTTGTGATCTTTTATTCCGATTGAAGACAATATTTTACCTATATAAAACTAATTTTATTAAACTATTATTTCAAATCTTTTGATTTATCTGGCCATTTTTAAAATTAGCTCAAAGCACTAACTTTTCCCTTTAAAGGTATCTAGACTTTCTTATATTTTTTAGAAAAGGACTGAAACATTTGGTGTTTAAATATTAAGATTCGTGACTGACAAAATAAATGATATGTTATTCTTGCGTATAAAAATGATTTAATTTTAATATATAAATCACTTACGTTGCAACGAAGCTACTATTGCTCCCATTGAAGGTTGACTGGTCATACCAGACATGCTATCTACAGCTACATCAACGATATCAGCATCAGCATATGCGCAAGCCAACATTGAAGCAACGCCTGAACCTGATGTATCATGAGTATGTACATGAATTGGAACGTCTGGAAACTTCTGTCTAATTGAATCTATAAGTAGGGAAGCCGCTCTTGGTTTCAAGAGCCCTGCCATATCCTTTATGCAAAGAATATGTGTACCAGCTCCAACTAATTTTGAAGCCAAATCTACATAATAATCCAAATCATATTTTTTGCGAGATGGATCACTAACATCTCCAGTATAACAAATAGCTGCTTCTATTACACCACCAGCTGCTCCAACGGCCTCAATTCCTAAAACATAATAAAAATAATTAAATAAAATATATGTTTGGCATCATTTTAATCTGAAGTAAAAATTATTTATAATCAATAAGCTGTAAGCCACACGATCAAACAAATTCTCTACTAATATAAAGTTTTCTTTAGCGCACAAGGCCACTCAAAAACTTTTGAAAAAAAAAGGACTCAAAATTTAATAACACCAATTCATTCAGTATTTTTAACTCAAATAAGCGTTTTATATTAAAAGAATCACGTATAAGCGTGTGATGATTTATGAAAAGAAAATTGATAAGAGCAGGAAAAGTTTAAATTAATTGGTAAAATCATGTTTAGATGAGAATGATAAGCGATCCAAAAAAGTTTGCGTTTTAAAAAGTGCCCTCATATAATTAAAAACTTCCTATACATCCAAATTCCTATCCTAAATAACCAAATTCCTTAAGTCACATTCAACTTGTTAGCGTTTGATCTTGCATTTCTATGTGAGCAAGTATCAGGCACGATCAGAATCTTTTATAGTCATCAACTAAGTAAATTAACAGCAGGTGTATGGAAATTTACTTTTAATATTCTACACCAGCATTGGAGGTTAGTTTCCGACATCATGCACCCGAAGTCATGCCCAGAGAGACAGCTCAACATCGCGCAGCATCTGTAGTTGCTAAGCCAATTTTTAGGGACAAAGAAAAGCCGAGCAAGGATCAAGAAAACTCTCTTCTTCAAAAAACAGGCTTGGATCATCATTGATCGGTTCAATGATATCATCTACTAGTGATAACCTGTGTTTGTGCGAGTGTTCGTGATAGTGTATTTGAATCGGTCTTAATGGATAGATTCATCAACTTGAGCTAATTCTGTGTCATCACATCTCTAATTACTCATCTGAATAGCCTATTCTTCCTCAACACGTCTTTCTTTCCTCTTTGACAATAATTACACTCGGAATATACCATAGCTTTACACCAATTTACCAATATTCTCAATATTTTTTAACACTAGTCCATAATTCATCCATGCTTCGTTCTGCTATTATCATAACCTCTCCAATTAACAGCACTCCTGAGTGGGAGAATACTTTTATGATACAGATCATCAAGCACTTTGGAGATAGTATGAAACATTTCAGAAAGTGGATTGATGCCGTGGTGACTTGGATGGAGGGCATAGCGAGAGCCGTCGAGCTGGATAAGCGATTGACCAAGCAGGAGAATGCCTAGCCGAACGCTGACTCAATCTCGGCCATTAGACTGGATTTTCTCCATGTAGATAAAACTGGTAAGGATATGAAAATGGCCGACTTTTCTTCTGCTCCTCAACATCGTGCCGATGAGTGTGAGGTTCTGTTATCAGGCTTGCCCCTTGAGTCGATAACACCTACATGGATAAAACTCTCTCGAGCCTGGGACTGGCACAGCACACTCGTTTCATAACACGCACAAAGAGTTGGAACCCCAAGAATCGTAACAAAAATTCTAACAGTGATCACACCCGTACTCTGGTTTTCAATGCTCCTCGCCGATCATATGCGATACGATCGTTTCTCACTCTCATAGGCTATCAAACTGTTGTGGATCAATGGTTCTTTAGCCGTAGCTCAGCAGGTCGTGGCTGCTGAGGCTACAACGCTTTTCTTGACTCATTATGTCGAGTTTGACTCTGCTAAGATAAAGGCTTAGCAGAGTGCGACAAGCCGGTATTCCTCGTGCGTTTAGCTTTTTTTCACGTTTCGTTTAATTTTAAGTTCCGCGCGTGCGCGTTGGCACGGTAATAACATTGTCACGTTGTTTTTGTTCTGGCTCGTCGATCGATCGAGATTTTCGGCAGTCTGGTTTGTACACTCAAACGAATAAGGTGAATAAAATTTTGGTTACAAAAATTGGCTGTTTATATTTTCCTTGTCTTATAATAAATATGATCTAATTTTTTTCCTTTCTCCGGCGCTCGCTTGTTCCGAGTGCGAAACATTTGGGTGTCAGAAGTGGGATCTTGAAAATATTATTCAGCGAGATAGTCGTACGGAATTTTTAATATGTCGAGAAAAAGGGGAGCTCCATTCAAGGTTCGACATGATTTCGTCCTGAAACGGTTAGCGCGTCTAATGAGTCTACAGCCTGGTCTTGATCCGGTACGGCCGCCTGTAGCCTCGTTTACGCCTGGCAAACAAGGAGCTAATAATGATGCTCAGCTCGAAGATGTCGATTCTGTAGTTGACAATGGGGACATAGGTGATCATGAGCCTATTCTTCCTGTCAGCGTCGCTACTAGGCCCGTTCTTCGGTTGCGCTTGCCGGTTTCTTCGAATACTGTAAATAAAATTGCCTATCAACCAAGTTTTCTAGGCATTCCTGAGGAAGATGCTGCGGGTGCGCACGGGCTCCTCGTTCAGCATTGGTCGCAATCTTCAATTTCTCCGTGCTGCGGCGTGGCCGCTCCTTCGTCTTCGTCTGCCGTTGTTGTTGACTTTCATCGTTCCAACGGGTCAAGCGCAGGTCTGTTTGAGGAGGAGGATGAGTTGCGACAACACATAATGAATGTTTCGGAAGAAGAGCTCCAGTTTTCGTCATCGAATTCGCAAATAGTATCAGGGTAGCAAGCGCGAAGTACCGTTAACAGTAATGTAGCCGATAATCGCGAATTGATCAATGCCATTGTAAGCACGCTTAATACTGTTCGTGATGTCACATTAAGTTCGTCCAATAGTTCGTTGTGCGATCGTATGAAATTTGTTGATAAATTATCATTTTCGTTTGATCCGCGAGAATTTCCGATATTCAAAAGAGCGGTAGATCTTTTATTCGAAATTGAAGGCATTTCCGATTGTGAGGTTATGCTACAATAGTATGATGCTGTAAAAGATAGTGATCGACAATCTGTAAAAGATTTATTTATCGCTGGTAATAGCACGAAGCGTGTTATGTTAACTTTGCAAACTCATTTTGATAATTCTTTAGTTTTAGGCGAGAAGATTGTTAGTGATTTGAAAAGCTTACCGAGTATTGAATCAGGTAAAATTGAATTTTATGAATTTTTGAGTTCCATGAGCAATGCAGTGGCGGCTTTAAAATCTTTAGCTAATTTCGAGTTATTGTGCAGTAAAGATTTAAATTAATGCAGTGTATTTTAAGTAAACTTCAGCCCGTGTTAATTTTCAAGCATACTGATAATGCAAGCGCTGTGAGAGAAGCAAAGCCAAATATTGAAAAGCTCTCTGATTTTCTGTTTTCTGAGTCGGAAAAAGTAGCCAAAGCAGGTGTGGTAAAAATGAGTTCGTTTTTTGGTCTCAAATTCCTTGTCTGAACCTGTAAGGCATTCTCGTAGTAGAAATAATGCGGTTTTTCATTGGACGTTGAAAGGTCAAGCAGTGATGTGGAGAAAGAGCGGCGGGCTAGTGATGAATGTGTTTTTTGCAAACTACGTAATCATTCAATTTCGTCATGTAAAAAATTCTCTAGTGAATCTGTCATAATTGTAATACTATTTATAAGATATAGTATATTTCTCTCTCTTTCCAAAAATCATCACTTCACTAGTTGATGATACTATTTTTTCCAAACAGAGCCTGAAATTAGTGGCAAAGTTGCTTATTTTAGGTTTGAATTGGAAAAAATATTTTTCCTCGTTTATATTTTTAGATAAGGAAAACATGAAATTTACATTTTTATTTCTTATATTACACCGTCGTGACTTCACTTTATTTTACTAATGACAGCAGTGAAGGTAGTGTCCAGGTAACGACCTTTAATTTGTAAATTTCGAGGAGAGGTGCATTGTCACAGAAATGAAACAACACAAGTTTTCGCCTCGTAGGTCGTCTAATTCTTTATTTACGAATCAATGTTTCGTTGGTCAATTGCCAACTTCTTCAGGATCATAGCAATACAATCTCAAGAGATACGTGTATTTCTATGCTGAGCCTACGACTGACTTGTTGGATAAACTTGTGTAAACATCAGACTGGAAAGTCTGATCAATATGAAAAAGTTACAAATATTTAAAAATGTTATAATATACGTTATTGACTTTTTAAACATCTTTTATCTTGTTCAGTGTATTGTCGGTGTTGTTAATATGGGTTATTTCCGAGATTCGGCTGAGGTGCCAATTCTTTTCATTGTCCAGTATTTTACCTTATATTTTTTATTATAACGCATCCGAAATAGTAATCTAGCTTCAGGCCAACTCACAGAGGTTCGGATAAATTCACATTTATACATTTCTTTAGTACGTAAAAACCAGAAAATTATAAAGAAGGTGTAGAGTAATTCCAAGAAAAAAAACTTACCTAAGTAAATATTTGGTAAATAATTAAGCGAATCAAAAACTCTGAATACGTCCATTCCCATTTGAACGGCAAGCTCACAAAACTTGAATACAACATTGTCTGGATAGTTTGTATACCCGACTGCATTAGCTCCTCGCAATAACATTTGAAACGGAATATTTGGAATTAGCTTTCGCATATTTTCTAGTCTTTCCCAAGGGCACTCATGCAAAAATCGAAGAGATACATCAAATGTTGCACCACCCCAATTTTCCAAAGCAAAAAGCTTATTGAATTTATTAGAAACAAATGGTGATATTGCAAGCAAATCATGAGTCCGAACACGTGTAGCCAATAAAGATTGATGAGCATCTCTGAATGTTGTATCCATCAAAAGCAATCCTTCTTGATTACGAATGGCCTTAGCAAATTTTTCAGGTCCTTGCTCTAGCAGTATTTTGCGAAATCCTTCAGGTGGAAAGAAATTTTCTGGAAAATAAAAAGTAAATTGAGGAATTATTGATAATTCTACATCTTAAAGAGTTTTATTGAAAAATTGATAGAACAAAAAAAACGAGCTTAATATGAAATGTACAAAGAGTACAAAGAACAGAATCATATATGATACGTGTGGCTCAAGGTCTCAAAGGGGGCTTAAATGTCTATTTACAGTATTTGGCTGTTAAAGTAAAAAAAATTTTTTTGAAGAACACTTATAAGAACCTTTATCAATACTTTATTTGAAAGTATTTCGTCCATTTACATAGTTAAAACCAGTTAAATACCCTGATACAAGTCTAAAGACCTTCTATATAAGCATTTCATATATGGTGCATTATTTCAAAAGTGTGATATTTGGAGTGGGTAAAATGGGCAATATTGGAAAAATTGAAAAACTTATTTTCTTCTATTTGGAGTTTAATTTTTCCGGACCCCCGTAGTTTCTGACACTTGATTCTTTGTTTTTTTCTAGCTTTTTACCGGCCATCATCTAATCTGTTTATTTTCTTATTGCAAACATGAAAATTTGTCACGGAGGGGACAAATCGTACTTTTATCAAATTTCACGATGACAACAAAGTTGAAAATTTTTTTTCCGATCACCCACAAAAATTGTTTGTAAAAACGAACGTTTTCATGCCTCCAGAGTCAAAAACAAAAATTGCTAACTCGAAAACTCGTCGATCACGGAGGGGACACTTTATTTTACTATTACGATTTTTGTGTGCAACTATTGTTATAGCGAAGCTGCAACTAAGATTTGAATATTCTACAGGTAAAAATCGAGTACCGTAGTTCTGAAAGATGACCCTCGTATAGTTAAAGAGGTTAAAATTACTGTCTAGCACGTTTACTGGCACTATATTTGTAATGATGTAAAATTTCCCATAATTTAAGGACACATTTGTTACTTATGTACAATTGTTTTGAAACTATTTAAGATGACGAGTGATGCAAAAAAACTTTCTTTAGGATGTATAGAATAAGGCCCATGTACCACAATATTGCTAGATATCTGTAAAAATGTGTTTAATGAATGAACACAATCGATTCTGGGTTCAGGACAGGTCACGGAGTGGACATTTTGTATGTTTATCCGGTTGGAAAATCAATGTGATCTTTTTTGATGGAAATTTTATAGTTGCGGAAGGTAAAATTCGCTAAAATGAAAGGTTCTACCGTCTTAGTATTCATTTTTTTAAAGTTTTCTAATAGCTACAATAACAAGACATGTCATATCACGCTTTTGAAATAATGCACCATATCTAAGCTGCTTGTCGTAGGATTTCAAGTAATCTGATGAATCAAAACAGATCTATGAGGGTAAAATCAATCGTGCTCGAGTAAAAGATAATACATTCTCATCCGTACATGATTTTTTTTGAATGATCATATGCATAAACAGCTTACTTCATGGCCACTATTTTGTTAGAAAGATTGTTTGGAAAAATCAGTGAAAATTCTCTGAGGTACTCCTACAATACTTTTGAATGAAGCATGGAATCTTAATTTTCAACCCGGATTCTGAAAGGGCATTAAATTTCACAATAAATTAAGTCCAAGCAAAGTCTTTTCAAGGTCCAAAACATGGAAAAAAATTTCATCGATCGCGAACGAAAAATGTCGTCATTTTTGGTGTTAATGGGTTAAACGGCTTTAAGAACCATTTTGAAGCGGTTTTTTTTATTCAATAATCTTTGCTATTTTTCTTCTCGAAATAGAATAAATTCTTGAAAAAAATACCAAGATCTAAAAGTGTTGAAATCATTCAAGTAATACGTATAAAATATTCATATTTTTTACAAGCCCATCGTCCATTTTTAAAAGATTAAAGTTGCCGTTTTTGTAGAAAGCAGTAGATTGTAAAAGTTTCTGAAAAAGGGCGATATATTGTATTCAAAATTAGTAGTTTTTTACTGATTATGAAATACTTTTTTCTGCAAAATCATTTCTTATTGAGATAAGAGTTCAATAATAAAATAAAAGTTTTAGCAATAAATAATATAAAATACGAACTTTTTAAGTCTTCATCAACGTGCAAGGTTGGTATGTGAGGTTGAATATCAGCTGGTTTAAGGTTCGTAGCCAAAGGAGTAGTAGGTCCATTTACAAGAACCGTCCCCAAATAATTTAATAATTTTTGTGCTCTATTTTGACTTTGCTGAAATTGAAAGAGTTGTGGATTTTCATCTATGAAGCTAGTATCTACAATTCCATTGACGAATTTTTGATCTTCCAAAACATTTAATAAAAATGGAATATTTGTTTTGACTCCTCGTACTCGAAACTCTCGAAGTGCTCTATTCATTTTCGAGCAACATGAAGGTAAATCGGCAGCATGAGCAATAACCTTTCAAAAACAACAATATTTTAATTTTAATTAAATACATTCTATGAATAAGTATTTTATTTATATTATTTTAATTGTATGTGTTCTTAAACTATTATTACGTAAAAAAACCTGAACTATTATTACGCTTAGAGTACAATGTCAAAATTGAATGCGAAAGGAACATTTCTTCCATTGCACGACGAACGATCACCATTTAAAAAAGGAAGGAAATTTAAAATTAATTTAAAGTATTCGAGAACCTCTCTCTTTAACCATTATTCAAGCTCTTTCTTCAAACCTCAATTGCTTTTTTACCCTCTGAGGAAAAAAACTTACTGCTGCCCCAACCACGTGTAGTCGGAGCATTTACCCCACAACCGTTTTTTACTAGTAAAAAAATGAAATTTTGATATTTTAGCTAGCTTCCATATCCCCTTAAATTGAACATTTTTTATAACATTTTTTAGTACGATGTCTCCTGCCCTCCTCATTGCATTTTTCAAAACTCTAAAATTCTGATTTTTCACTGAGATATGGCTGTTTCCGTAGGCCTTTTTCGTATACTTAACACGTTACATTTTTTCTACTTTTGTGTTTTCTGGCATGTTTTTGGTCACTTGTCGTAATTACATATAATGTTGTAAATTAAATTTTGTATTCTCTTTAAGTTTTGTTTATGAATCAGAGAATCCCCCACCATTCTGCACCCCCTTGTATACTTAATCTACTATCCTCTTAGAAGTATACCACAATAGATGCGGGCCCAGTTGAAAAAAATTGCATGGATATCCGCGTTGATTATCCACGTGGATTAGCTATCCACGAGGATTAGACATGGATACCACGCAGATCTGACAACGATTCCACGTGGATCATACATGGATGGAAAAAAATTTTAAGTTGGTGGTTTTTCAACTCTTCGAGGATCTTGGACTTATTTCGCAAGCTCGCTGCAAATATCGGCGAGGTTTTGTCAGTGAATCGTTGTGGATTTTAACTTCTCCACGTCGATAATTGGGAGGATAAAGGAGTTTTAGAGAAATCTTTGAGGATCTTTCTACATCCACGAGGATTTCAGAGAAAATCGTCGTGGGTCGATCAAAAATCTGCGTAGATTTCTGGTCAATCGACGAGAGGTTTCGTGGAAATCCTCGTTGATTGTTTAAAAATCATCGCGGAGATTCAAAAGTCTACGAGGATTTTAGCAAAAATCGTCGTGGGTTAATCGAAAATATGCGTAGGTATTATGTCAATCCACGTGACTTAGCTACGTAGACAATTTATTTAATCCACGTGGTATCCATGTCCGATCCACGTGGTATCAATGCCTGATCCTCGAGGTATCTATGTATGATCCACGTGGAATCGGTGTGATAATCAACGCGGATATCCATGCAATTTTTTTCAACTCGGGGACATATATTGGGAGGAGGAGATATATAATGTAAGTGTGAGACATCAGGAAATTTCAATTTGAAATTCAACCTAAAATAAATAAAAAAGTAAAAAAAAATTGTTAAAATTTCTTTTCTATCATACCTTGACTAAAAGAGAATCATAATATGGCGATATAGTTGCACCAGCATAAGCTGAAGCTCCATCAAGCCTAATTCCCATTCCTTCTCCTGAACGAAAAACTTCAATACGACCACTGTCGGGCTGAAATTGTTTCGATGGATCTTCAGTTGTAATGCGACATTGAATTGCATAACCTCTCGGTACTATTTTATCTTGAGTCATACCAAGTTCAGGTAGAGTTAAACCTTCAGCAATTCGTATTTGAGACTGAACAAGATCAATTCTGTTAAAATACAATATTATTAATTTATCGATACATGAATTAGTGTATTTCATAGTTATATTTTTAAGAAAACAGAAATATAAGTCAACAGTGAATATTTTCTATATTAGATTTATTTTTTAATAAAAAAAAAGAATTATATTACTACATACTACTATTTTGTTATAACCATGACGGGAAAAAATCGTTCAAGAAAAAGTAAAAGTAGTAACTAAAACCATCATATTAATTTCTAAAATGTAATAAAATGTAAAATTACTAGCGATTTCGGACAGCCAATGCATTAAAAAAGGCAGCATAAAAGCACATTTTTGTACACATTTTTACTCTTTATTACATTTTCTTCAATATACTATCCGTGTGTGATCGCATCGACCACAGCAAGTGATTTTTATGAAAAAAAATGTATTAATTTTTATAAATAAATTAAGACAAATAATGATGGATATGTATTAGGGTGGTCCACTTTTTCAAAAATTTTTTTAATCTTGGGGGATCCAACGGAATCTGAAAGTTTAAGGTTTAAAATGAATTTTCCCGTAATGTAGAGCTAAAAAAAATGATTTTAAATGGTGTCGATGGATTTTTGAAGTTTTTTTTTTGACGTAAAAAAATCGCAGCCGACAGGAGGTACTTCGATAGTTTGCCAGATTTTCTATAAAGCCATAATGGGTTTTGTGAATACATTTTCTTTTGTATTTTTTGCCGTAGAATCGAATGCCATCATTAGTTTTGGGCTATAAAAACGATTTCAGTGAAAAAATTGCGATTTTTGAATTTTTTTCTGTTGAAAAATCGAAAAATTCGTCTTTTCACGTCTGGCAAATGAACAAAAAAAATCGTAGAAGCTTTTAATCTACGGATTTAGTTAGGAAATTTCATAACGAATCGAAGCCCGTCGTCGGTTTTTGCCTACAAAATTATTTTAAGTCATAAAATTGCGATTTTCCGTAGCTATGATTACGAAAAAAATCGAAAGATGCGCCTTTTAGCGTGTTAACATACACTGAATGTAGCTGTGAGCATTTTAACATGGTTTTTAATGGGATTTTTGGCGTAGAATCGAATGGCGTTGTTACTTTTACGCTACAAATCCATTTTCAACGAGAAATCGCTCCTTTTTGAATTTTTAAACATGAAAAATGACCATTAGGCGCCAGAAAATCAACTAAATAGTCTAGTAAGTATTCAAACATGTTATTTGTCGGGATTTTTTTCGTGGTATCGAATTTTGTTGTTACTTTTACTCTTTTAATTTATTTTCAGCAACAAATTGCCTTATTTGGATCACGTTCTTTTACTTATAAAAGAAATATGATCAGATAATTTTATAAATTTTTACGTTGCCAAAAGTAGCATTTTTCGATATTTTGCGTTAGTAAAACTACAAAAAAGGCAATTTGTTGCTGAAAATAAATTAAAAGAGTAAAAGTAACAACAAAATTCGATACCACGAAAAAAATCCCGACAAATAACATGTTTGAATACTTACTAGACTATTTAGTTGATTTTCTGGCGCCTAATGGTCATTTTTCATGTTTAAAAATTCAAAAAGGAGCGATTTCTCGTTGAAAATGGATTTGTGGCGTAAAAGTAACAACGCCATTCGATTCTACGCCAAAAATTCCATTAAAAACCATGTTAAAATGCTCACAGCTACATTCAGTGTATGTTAACACGCTAAAAGGCGCATCTTTCGATTTTTTTCGTAATCATAGCTACGGAAAATCACAATTTTATGACTTAAAATAATTTTGCAGGCAAAAACCGACGACGGGCTTCGATTTGTTATGAAATTTCCTAACTAAATCCGTAGATTAAAAGCTTCTACGATTTTTTTTGTTCATTTGCCAGACGTGAAAAGACGAATTTTTCGATTTTTCAACAGAAAAAAATTCAAAAATCGCAATTTTTTCACTGAAATCGTTTTTATAGCCCAAAACTAATGATAGCATTCGATTCTACGGCAAAAAATCCAAAAGAAAATGTATTCACAAAACCCATTATGGCTTTATAGAAAATCTGGCAAACTATCGAAGTACCTCCTGTCGGCTGCGATTTTTTTACGTCAAAAAAAAAAACTTCAAAAATCCATCGACACCATCTAAAATCATTTTTTTTAGCTCTACTTTACGGGAAAATTCATTTTAAACCTTAAACTTTCAGATTCCGTTGGATCCCCCAAGATTAAAAAAATTTTTGAAAAAGTGGACCACCCTAATATGTATATAAACCAAATTCAGTCACCTCAGTACTCCGCAGTACATCTATGATGATGTTATAATGCTTTCTGCTACATTAGAGTAAGTTCACTTTTTTCACGAAAATCACTTGCTGCGGTCAATTTGATCACATGCGGGCTTGACTGGAATTTTAAACTCATGAGTAAAAACTGTATCATTTAAAATTATTATTACCGAATTTTATGTTTTTTTACACTTTTTTACTTTTTCCGTGTAACTTTAATGAGCTTGAATTCATAGGGGTTTCATCTCTCTAATTATAGGTAAACAAGTGTAATAAACTGTAATAAAAAATAAAAAAGTGTAGAAAAACGTATTACATGTCCGAAATCGTTAGTAATCTTACATTTTTTTACACTTTTTTACTTTTTATTACAGTTTACAACATTATTATGCACTTTATCTAAAAAAAAATTTCCGCTGGGGTAAGCTAAGAATTATGACTGATTATGAAGTTGTATTTCTAGCAACAACTTGTGCTACTATGTCACTTCGAGTTAAATATAACATTTTTCTTTCTAGTCCAGTAAAATTAGACTCACTCAATGTTATTGATGACAAAATTAGTGACAGGACCAGACCATATGGAATATGTTGGTCTCGATGAGTACAACAAGTACCCTTAGCTGCGTAACATTTTAAGTGGTGGTTGGGGTAGGGGGATGGTTAAAAGAGTGGAAAAATCACAATTTCGCCTCTGTAGCTTTTCCATGAACAGCAATCGAAAAAAAATTCAAACAAAAGTTGTAGCTATTAATGAGACCTTTTAATTTAAGCCCAACCACGATCGATGACGTTAATTATTTACCGAGAAAAATGCAAAAAAACCCTCTAAAATTGCCATTTTTTCTATTCCATTTATTATAAACAATTTCAGTTCAATCAGAACTTACAATACATCAAAATGTAGGTCTTTTTGCGACAAAAACAATGAACTTTTAAAAGTCAAGATCGGACGTATAGTTTTCGAGAAACAGCCTTTTGATTATAAAAACTCTCCCTCGAACCGAGGCTATATCTCGATTGTTAATAACAATAGCGAGTCCGTTCGAAGCGCAAATGAAAGTTGAAGACTTATACGTACTTATACGTAGCAAAAAGTTTTCAACGGAAAATCAAAATACATACGTTAAACAATGCGATGAAAATTCGGTACTTTTTAAGTTCGCATTTCGAGTTTAAGATGTTTTTGCTTATGCTCTTATGTTGCGTTGTGTGTATATGTAAACACAGTCATACAGGTGTGCGAGAGGGAGAGAGTAAAAGGTACGTGTGGCAAATCTCAGAAGCAGCAAATAGCAGTCATTGAATTGGATGTAGCTAGCGCGACAGCCAATAGCAGCGCGCAGCAAGAACCGACGCTACATAGACACTTATACTACCAAAGTTGTTCTCGCTCGGAAGGACGGACAGACGCTTGTTTTTCACGGGTTTACCCCTCATGCCAAACGCCGATAAAGATGTTTCACATCAAAAATTTTCTCGCAACAAGTGTTCCTATGAAATCAGAAATCCTGCCACAACCGTCACTAGACATAGCTTTGGTAGATAAGACAACTGCGTGGGAATTTTTATGGAATTTTCGAACCACTACTTCAAACAAAAAATAACTTATATTCATATAAAGTACGTTGTACTCTCGTCGTACTTTCTTTTCCACGGACTTGGGTCACGTGGGTATAATTGATTCTTTGAAGAGAGGGAATATGAAGAGAGTATGTCATGAATGAATGTGAGATTGAGAATTGAGTGTTCATTGAGCTGTTAATGTAAACAGAAGAGTAGCGTGAAGAATTGACATTAAATGTCGTTTCTTTTGTTATAGGTAATATAACTGAAAATTATTGTAAATAGTATTTTAATTTTATTCTAAATAAATCTTTTGTTATAGAGAATACACATAAGTCAGTTTGCTAACCAACAAATATTAATAACACCATTATATTCATATAAAACATAACTCATTTTTGCTCGAAAACTACTGAATTTAGAGAAAAAGTGCAAAAAACCAAAGTTTGAAAAGAAGTTCAAAAATTCCATAAAAATTCTCTGAGATACTTTGATAGTCGTGATCACCCTTGATCATATTTATATCGTGATTCCCTAATGGTAACATGGTGAAAAAAAATCAAAAACTTGATTTTTTGCAAAAAATTTTACGTTTTTTTTCGTATAAGTAGTCATAACTTTTTTATTACGCAAAGAATCGAAATTTTGAGCTCAGTTTCTGAAAGGACATTAAATTTTACATCGAAATAGGTCCATACAAAACTTTTTGGAGGCCTCAAACTATAAAAAAAAATCGCTGCGAAAACCAACAAAAAAATCGAGCATTTTGGTCGTTAATGGGTTAATAACAAGAAATAAATGATAAACAATGCACACTGAGGTGTCGAATACAGAATAAAATAAATTCGTCACTTATTTTATCACTTAATATATTTTAGAATGTTGAAATAAAAATGTTCAAGTATTTTAAATCTTGTTATTTATCAAGCGTGTTGCACCTGTCGTTGATAAAAATCATTTCGGATATTAATCGAAGTCGATCATAGTTCTGCTCGTGTTCCAAGACTTTAACGTTAGCCCAATCCATAACATGACCTTAGTTAGACCTTAGTGTTCTTTAATATGCGCTGCTGCAACCGATTTTTTGCTGTTTGCGTTCTTGTGTTCTCTCATATGGAGTTGAGCATCTTTTTTGTTTTTCCAAAGTAGCTTTTAGTGCAGCCTGTGCATTTCAGATGGTATACCACTCCTATCTTCTCATTTTTATCGATCTAGTCTGTTCTTAGTGTAATGAAAAAAGTGAGCGATTCGTTTTGAATCAGAATGACCCTGATGTTATATTTTCTGACACGTGAGCACATTTGTCATAGAAATGGTCGATGCGTGGTACCTTTAAAATCACGTTGCATATCAGATCAGTCCTCTTTATATGAGAGCTGTGCCTTTCTTGTTTTAAATTCTTGAGAGCCCAAAGTCTTTTGAACACGTATGTATTGATGAATTCTAACGGATAATTGATGTCTCTGAAAGGGTTTCCCACTTTCTCAATAATCCTGAAGTGAAACTGCTGGTCCACTAATTTTGTCGCTCTGTCCACCAGGTTATAAATCATGTTGATTTTTTTTTAGCAGAATGAGTGGTATGAGAGTAGTCGCGTGGTATTGGATGGTTTTGGGTACCAATCCGTGAGTAGTTTGTCATTTGCGTTTACCAGGGTCATGTCTAAGAAGCTGAGTTTTTTTGTCTTGTTCAACTTCGTGTGCGAACTCTACGAGTATCATACAAGTTCAACACATCTACTGCCAACTTTACATCGTTTTTGTTGATACATAGGATATTATCGTCGACATACATGTAATAAAACGGTGGTATGTTTGTTGTATGGTATGCGTGTTGTTTCAGTACGGTCAAGCAGTGTTTTCCGAAGTCTTCCATTACTAAGTCTGCCACTAATAAAAAGATACAACCTCCCATCATAGTCCCCTAAGTTTATCCATAAAAATAAGTGTCATGGAATTTAAAATATGCGTTGTTGAAAAGGAATGTTGTTACTTCACGGATTTCATTGAAAGATAGGCGAGAGTTAGATAGGTCGGAGTAGCGTCTGTCCAGTAGGGCGAAACGAAAAAACACTTTTGACGCCGATCACTTTGTAATAGTAGTATATTGAAAGTATAAGATGATATTTTTTTGCAATTTTTGCAATTTTTTTCAACTGAGTTAGAGACATGTTTTCTGATGTTAAAAGACCAAAAAAAAACATAATTTCACATCGAAAATAAAAAATTTAATTTCATCATTTTATTTTCATGTTTTTTAATTTACAATATTTAACACAGGTGTAGTGGCTGAGTAAGAGTGTTTTGTATGTGATAACTATCATACTCATAATATAAAGTACTGTGATAAGTTCACATTATTTACGAAATCACACCGGTAACGTAAAATGTGATAGCAAACGATCATAGCAAGTGTGATGCGAACGACATGGTATCAAAAAATATCATTTATATCAATGAAAAATGTGGACCAACTGTGAAATCATTTTACACAGTGCTATAAAATATGTTGTTGTTGTTGGGAAATGAATTGTTTTGCTTTTTTTTTAATAATTTTCTTTGCTTCAGCGTGCATAAATAATTAACTTATAAATTTTTTTTAAATTTTGGATATTTCATTTATGAAAATGTGAATAAATTATTAATGTATAATGAATTTATTTTGTTTCCTTGATGTAAAAAATCCATGATTTTTACCTTTTGTTTGATTTTAAATGAAAATGTTGAGTAAATATAATATAATATTTTACTTACCCAGTGATTTCTTCGGTGACTGTATGTTCTACTTGTAATCTAGCATTGACTTCAATAAAGTAAAAATTACCTTCTTCATCAACTAAAAATTCAACGGTTCCAGCATTAGAGTATTTTACATGTTTCGCTAATTTGACAGCACAATCTGTCATTTTTTTGCGTATATTTGTATCCAAACTGGGAGCTGGTGCTATTTCAACAACCTGAAAAAAAGTTTTTTATTCGATATACTTTTCGCTAATACTTGTAAAGTTTTATTTGAACGAATAATTTAATTTAACCTAAATATCATTTTTTTTAAATTATTACTCATTATTAGTGAAATTCTACTTGTTTTCTTTAGATGTTCTCTTAAGCTCTCATGTTCATTATGCTCATTATGTTGAGTAAATGAGCGATTTCAAATAATGCTTCGTAAAAATCACTTATATGTGTACTTGATTAAAAGGGTCTTTCGAAAGTTTATGGAAGAGGATAGAATTTTTATTTTTCAATGAATATTAATGCACACTCTATCGTTCTTTTTTCAATTTTAAACATAACTGATAGTATACGTGGTACTTTTTCGTATTAACTTGTATCCCTCGAAACCAGGCCGGTTCTTTTTTTTAATAAGAGGCTATAATCTTTTATACGCACTTACACTCGCGGTGGCAAAGCCAGTTACGAGTCCGATTCTTCTATAGCGATTGCTTTGAATATTAGTTGGCATTCCGTGGAATTTTCTCAAGAAATCATTTAATACTAGCGACATACCTCGCTCGCTAACACTCGGCTTGTTATAGTTTTGTACGAATTTTTAAGAAAGCAAGAATTATAAAACAAGTTTTTACAAAATGCTATTTACGTACGTTAGAATTTTGGATTTATAAGGTATACACCAGGTATATATTATGTACCTGATTCTTATAAGGTGTATGTAAGGTTTATATGTAATGTATGTGAGTAAATCTCGTGAAATTTCAATATTTTGCCATGAAAAAAAATTATTTTTTTTTAAAGCACACTCGTGAAAAATTTTTCGGGTTCTTACAAGTGATTCAGAAACCTGAAAAAAATATTGCCCATCAAATTTGGTAGGGCCTTCGAGGATTTGAAAAAGTACATGCTAAAGCTGAAACTGATGAATTATATTTTTAAGATAATATTTGCTCCTTAATTTGTTTAAAATATTAACTTTTTGACATTTAAAAAAAAGCACAAAGCGTCATCTTTACCAAAATGTCGAAAACTAAAATGGGCAATATAAATCGTGCCATTCAAAATAAAATTGTTGATGTGCAACGCAAAATTCGATTAAAATGTACTCAAAATCAACAATGGGCGCAGGCAAAGCCCATGTTTATATCGTATATAACTTTTTTTATAAAGCACACCCAACAAAAATAGATATACCACTCGATTCACGGTGGGGCCTATTGGAATATTAGAATTTTATAAAAATATCGTTAAAATACTAAAAATCAAGTTTAATTTTTCTAAATATTGTAGAAGACTCGGGTAACGATGCACACCATTTAGAGATCTTTTTTTCGAAAATACAGTTTCTGAAGATTGTTTGGTGATGATTTGCATAAAAAAATTTGATGGACTTATCGGTAATCAGAATTTGAAAATTACAAATAGGATGAGTTGAATTTCAAAACGCATAAAAAACGCAATAAAATGCATGATTTTTGTATTAATTCGAGTTTGGATCCCACTAGAAGATGTTCTCAAGAAAAGAAAAAGTTGAAAATTCAACATAAACGATGCCAGGAATGGTAATTTTTAAGTTTTCATATACCTGATATTTATAAGGTATATACCAGGTTTATATATAATATAAATTACCAATGACAACCTAAGTTTCTCATTTGAATTATGCTCATATGTGGACTAAAATAATTGAAGTGAAACTTCGATACGCGCGTTGGGTATGGGAGGTTAATCCGTAAAAAACGGGCGGGCGGGCGTACGGATTGAATGTTTTAAGTCTCAGTAGCGTCTGTATGCTTAGCGCGCTATGATTGGCCGGCGTACAGCAGTGGTGAGGTGCTGCTAGTCTCCCTATATACATCGGTACGTCACGACAGTGGCTGTTTATTGACGCTCATGCCTTTGTAACGTATATGCGGCGTTGTGTTACTCTGTCTCTCTCACGCGCGCTGTGCGTGTTAGTGCGAGTACTCGGTCAAACGACAACGCATGTAATGACTCATGCTTACTGGCTGCATGAGTGCTCATGCCTGCGGTGGACCCGTATGAAATAAAAATCAAATCGAATTCATTTACAATGTAATGCAGAGTGAGTTGAGGCCGCGGCAGCGGCCTCGGTACTCCCAACCGAAATTTGAAATATATCAAAAGTATATGGGGCAAAATTTCTCAAAACTCCTAGCGCCTCGCGCAACAGCGTTTTTGATCGAAATTGCTCAATTTTCAACTCGCTCTAAATGTACCTAAACGAACCTAGAAAAAATAATCAACCAGTGATTTCGATGGAAAATTTGCTCAAATTTCCGATGGTGAGCTCCAATTTTCCTGAATTTTTCATTTTGATCTCCGAAAATGCAAGTAAACTTTCAAACTCGAATATCTCAAAAGGTGTCATATTTTTTGTTTGATCTTCGAGTAACAGTCCTGGTACAAGTGTGTATGTCTCTATTTCTGATGTTGTGTTGTTAGAATCGGTATGTGTATCAATTGCGTCTGATGTTTGTACTGTTGGAGATGCTGTGGTATGTGAATCGTTAAGTGTACCTGATGTATTTTCGGATGTGTCTGCCGTTTCATCTTCGGAATTTAATTCAACCCAATATTTTTCGTTGTTCGAAAACCATTCCACAACCTTTTCATCGATTTTATCAGTTAAATTGCCTGTTTCATCTACAGTATATTTATTAAAATTTGAAATTAAAAGACGCGCATCATCGGCTTCACAATTCCCTCCAACTGCTGGCATAAGCACAGTTATAAGAACCGCATACTGAATGTTTTTAACACGCTGGGTAAGCGTCGGATTGTTGTTATAACCACAACGTTCTCTCACAAATCCGAAAGAATTTTCTAGCTTATCTTGATTCAAACGTTAAGTTAATAAATAACTAATACCTTAGGCTTTGCGTCTGTCCCAAAGTAAAAGAATTCCATTAATCATTAAAATTACATTCCTACAAACAGGAGACTTAGTGGGATCATAAATTAATTTAAGCCAAGCAAAAGATTTTTCTAATTCATCTTCAACAATTGTACTTTTCGACGAGAAGCCTCCCTATAAGGATTGGAACCAGCCGAAGTACGAGCGTTGAGACGATGGAAAATTCTGTTGATTCTACTACAAAAATCGGATGTAGCACCTACTATTTCAAGATCAGTATTATTTAAACCTACTTCTCTATTCATAGTAGCTGCCATTAAAGGAGCACCTACAGAATGAATAAAAACTTGGACTGCTAAGCTAACTTTCATTTTTTCAAAATTATTAGGCTCTATATGACGTTTGGATAACTTAGGTGCTGCCCTACACGATTTGCCCTTTTCAAGCTCATAGAGCTTTTTTATTGGCATGCAAGAAACTATATTACCATCGACTTTATAATTATTTCATATCAAATTATTTCTAATGCATTTAATTATATGAGGAACGTCAAAGCAAAGTTCTTTTAAGTTCATTAAAAGGATTTTCGAGAGTTATACTCAGCTGCTTTGTGGTGGATTGATTGCCTTTCGACTGGTCACAAACCATATGCTTGATAATAAAACCAGCTTCAAAAACAAGTTCTAGTACCTTATTAATTAATATTATTAAATTAGATGCTGAAACTGGGACAGCAGAAGGAATATAAAAAAATGGTTGTTTCCAGTTTTGAATCAATCCACCTACATCAAATCTTAAATCTTCCAGCCAAAATCCAGCCAATCATTTTTAACAGGGTATGTATACATTTTTTTTAAAGGGCCGCGAAAAAGCTCTCAAAATTGAGTAACTTAAAATAACACTCACCATTTACCTACCAAAAACTCATGTAATAAGTTAAACTGGAGAAAATATCTCTACTTACTAGTAGAAAGTTTAATATAAATCGACCAAGCATTTTTTTAATCGTTAATGTTTTCAATAAGGCTTAAGTAATGCATGTGTTTAGTGGCTTAAAAATTTCAAGACATTCACAAACATCAACATTTTTTATGCAAATGAACGAATTTACAATAAAAAAGCGTAACCGTATGTTTCGCTCGACGTACATTTTATGATCCTTAACAGAGCACTGATCAGTAATTGCTGCATAATGTTTTATTTCGTCGCACAAATTTCGTCACTATTAGAAAACTGCAAGACACGCGTTGATCATACGAGTTGATAACTAACTTAAACGGACAAAACATTAAAAAACGTTTTATATTCAGTAGAATTCACTTACAGGCTCGGTGGTTTTGTTTTGAACCGATGTAGTGTAACATCATCTTCTTGTGCACTTTTACCAAAATCTTACAAAACGCACTTGGCCCTCGACTTCGACATTTTAACACAGAACTAATGCACTGATTCGCAATCACTAATTGTCAATTAGTAACTATCAATGCACAGACCACTCAACAAAACTAATAACTGATTTTAAACTAAAATAACGAAAGTTAAACTGCACTGGTATAGTTAATTCTCTTCGAGCAAGACTTTTAAACGATGCAACTGTTATATACCAATAACCTAGCGTTAGGTATAGTAAAATTTAGATATAATAATTAAAATAAGACCGTCAAATTAACACGTGTGACGCTTGATCTCGCGGGTAAAGAGAAATGTGTGTAAGACGAATACAGAGACAGGCAAGCGCTGTCGCATGAATGGGTGTGTGAATGTAAGTGGCCTACGCACACCGTCGCATTAGGTCGAGCCCACACATATATGTATCCCGCGAGCGTATGTGTATCAGCCGAACACAGAGCAAGGCAAAGGCTGAAGGTATGTACGGACATGCGGGAGCAACATTACCGACTCACTAGGTCGAGCCCCGCACGCGTATACATCCCGTGTATGTGTACTCGCGTGTGTGTGCAAGTCGAACACAAAAAAGGCATAACACACACATGCGAGACGAAACTCATGGAATAATTTGAAATGGTACAAAGAGGCAAAACAAGCTCGCACGCGCACTCGCAAGTCCCATATCACCAAAAGATTGACCTGTGACCCCAGATAATTATTGGGAACATCTTTGTC